GGTATCACCATCTGATAAATAAACCCCAAAACCCCAAAACCCCAAAACCCCATCATCATAAAAGAGAGCGAGTTTATGGTAAGAAAAAAAGATTAGATGAGGTGAAGGGCTTATGCTGTTTGATACTTAAAAAGTGATTATTGTGTAGTTTATTTATCAGATGGTGATACCGCATTCTTTGTAGCAGTTGTAGACCTTGTTGATAGCGTTGATAAGACATGCTTCACGGAAGGTGAATCCTTTCTTTGTAGCGAAATCCCAATTCTCTTTGCAAGCAGTTGTCATAATTTCCTCAAGACCTGAGTACACAATATCGATTTCTTCAGCACCCTTAATACTGTCGTTATCTCCCTTGAATCCCATCATCTCTAAGAGTTTCTTTTGTTGCTTCTCTTCGTATTTCTTGACCAGCTTACCTGGGCTGACGTGGTCAATATTCTTCAACCACTCGAAGTAAGAGCAGGTGACACCACCTCCGTTCATGAGAAGATCTGGGCAGACGACAATACCTCTCTTGGTTAGTTCTTACTCACCAGCATATGTGGTTGGGCCATTAGCACCCTCAACAACTGCCTTGCATTTAAGGTTGGGGGCATTACCTTTGTGAATTGATTTTTCAACGGCAGCTGGAACGAGGAAGTCACATTCTTTTTCCATGAATGCGAATGGGTTCTTAGTTTCAGTCTCTTTAGCGAGTGGATATCCTTCAAGAGTTCCTTTTTCTTGGAAGTACTTCTTGACGTGATCTGGATCGAAACCATCAGAATTGTGGATGGCTGAGTTGTACTCAATGATAGTGGTAATCTTGGCACCATCTCCGTGGAAGAATTTAGCAGCCCAGTATCCGACATTACCGAAGCCTTACATAACAAAAGTCTTGCCTGCAAGACCTTTGGTCAAACCAATTTTGTTATAAAAGCTCTCAAACTTCATCAATTCCCTTAAACCGTAGTAAACACCTAATCCTGTTGACTCAGTTCTACCAGCAATACCTCCTTGTGAGATGAACTTGCCTGTGCAGCAACCCTCAGCGTTGATGTCTTGCTCTCCCTTAACGGACACGTAGGTATCCTTAATCCAGGTCATAATTTGCTCGTTAGTTCCCATATCTGGTCCTAGACAATCAATGGCTGGACCAATGAATCCCTTCTTGATGAGTTCCATGGTATATCTTCTAGTTACTCTCTCTAACTCTCCCTTGCTGAGCTTTCTTGGGTCGATCTTAATACCTCCCTTGGCTCCTCCGAAGGGTACATCAGCAATTGCGAGTTTGAAGGTCATGAGAGATGCGAGGGCTTCTGTTTCCTAAATGAATGATGTTAATTTTTATTAAAATGGTATTTGATTGATTCCTTACTTATAGATCAATGTCTGGTGAGTATCTGGTACCTCCCTTGACTGGTAGTCTGTGATGACTGTGTTGAGCTCTATAAGCATATGATTAGGATATTTGATAGGCAGATATTTAAGATTTACCTATAGCAAGTAATTGTATCAACTTTGCCATTGTCTCTTCTAAGTGGAATGTTGAATCTAATCACAGTGTTGCAAGCCTTGATCAAGTCTAAGTATTCTTTTGGTACGTCAGTCTTGGAAGCAGCGCCGTCAAAGAATAGCTTGACTTGTTCGAGAAATCTTGGCTCTTGGAAATCATCTAGCTTTGGACCATAACTTGAAGGGTCTAATGGGTTTGCCTTATTTACAACTGCAGCAGAGAACATTGCTCTGTCTAAAGAATAGGTTTATTAGTATATGAATTCAAAAGTTAGCGATAATAGATATTGAGATAGGGAAGGAGAACTTACTGGCTTGGAAAAGTGCTTGAGTCTTGTAGAGACTTGTGAATTTGTTAAGTTTTTGCATGTTTAAGAATTTGGAAGACTAGGGTCCAAGTAAATGATTTAATATCTTTATTTAATATTAACTAAGGATTGATTCCATAAAAGATTTGCCAAATAAATTAAAGTTGTCTTATCAAATAATCACAAATCTTATTTTCATGATCACAATTCGTTTCCTTTGTCTTCTTCATGGGGTTTTGGGGTTTTGGGGTTTTGGGGTTTTGGGG